AGCTGATAAGGAGGTCGAAAAGTCTTAATACCATTTATAAAGAATTGCATGTCTTTGCAAGGCTGGTGGGGGAGAAAGGCTTCAAAAGAGAATTCATAGGGATTGTGAGACTAATGGAAATATCCTATTTATTGTTTTCATTAATACCTTCAAGAATAAAAAGTGATAAGGTTATTAATTGGTGACAAATATAATAAAATCTCTGCCCCAATCCAGATTTAAGAAATCAACAGTTGTGCTTAATGCAGTTTGTAGTTGGAAACCAAACACCCCTTTTATGGATGTAGCAAAGCATTGGAGGCTTCTTCCAAAAGGATGCACCAAGTGTCAGGTATAAGGGGGGGTTTTCCCAATACATAATAGCAAACCCACCTTAGCCCTGTGGGGTAAGTACAAATATGGGTTTAATTCTGTTACTAGATCATTCATTACTGCAAGTTTTCTTGGCTAAGTATTAAAAGGAAATAAACACCATGCCCACAAAGGGAATACCTGTTCCTGGACCAAAAGCCCGTGGAAGGAAGCTGAGAGGGGCCTTGTGGGCACACTCAGTTGGTGAGGACTGGTCAGGTAGGGCCAGGCTGGAGGCCATGGGGTTCTACATCCAACTCTCCATCCTTCCAGCTTCCCTCTAACAGTGGGATGCTTCCCTGCATTACCTTTTGCAATTATTTAGGCAACTGCTGGTGTTGTAGGGTATTCCCAACTCTGCAGAAAGCTGACTGTGGCAATCCACAAGAAGGGAAATGGCTTTATAGAGACCAACTGAAGTTCTTTACAGCATCCCTTGGTGTTTCTGCACCTGACAGCTTAGTACAGTCGTGTGGCTTGTGCTTTATCTCCCGCAGCTGGAAGGTGACTTGTCCTAGGCTTCACTGAAGATCTAACAACCACTAAGTGTGGGATTAACCTCTGCTCCAGGGTAAGGGAGCAGGCATCTTGTCACAGGTTCTCAGCCCCATACTTGTATCATTGGTTTCACTTCTCTTTCACCAGCAGGTTCTCCCTGCTGCTCTCCAGAGATCCCCAAGCTGAGGGATACCCCAAGGGTGCTTGACCTTCAGGCCTGTTCCTCCCTGGAGTGTAGTTTTGTTCCAGAGGAGGTTTCCAAAGCCTGACCTGTTCCAGTGCTTCTCTTTCCAGCCCAGAGCACTTAAAAACCACCAGAGCCCCAGGAGGCTTCAGGGTGAGTATGTTTCCATCTCCTGCCTTTTTCTGTCCAGAATTGCTTTTTCTCTGGGGGTGCATGTTTGTTCTGTGCGCAAAAGAAAACTTTGCTGACCACATAAGATAAATTTATCCTATGTTGCATCCCTTTCCTGACCACACCATTTGACACAGACCCAAAGCACTGCCTTCCAGTCCCTGCAAACCTGCTCATGCCCTGGTGCTGCTGTGACGCCTTTGCCAGGGCTGATTTGTCCACACTGGTTTCTTCAGCTCCAAGAAATAATGACAGGGAGCTTGTTTAGATGGTCACTTGGCCCTATCCCACTCCTGGGCACGTTTCTTGCTCAGTGGTGAGAGCCACGTGTGTGCCTTGTGTGCAGGGCTGCCTGCAAAGATTGGCTTTGGCATTATCCTAATTGTTGGAGCAAGTTCAGACACCTGACACCACCCTGACACTTTGTTGAGTGCTGGAAGGTAGGGAAAGAAGGGATAAGGAGCCCAGGAAAGACAGAACTGGGAACACAGAGCTAGATCTCTTCTGTGGTCTTATCTTATGGTGGGTGGCTGTGTTGCCTGACGTGGCTGGATGAATGGACCAGCTGGACTGTTGGAGTGTGGGCAGAGAGATTTGAGGGAAAAGATGTTTTGGGATTAATAGAAGAGTTGCTAAATGAGTGCTTCTTAGAAACGTCCTTCCAAAGGATGCCACACTAGCAGGGCTGCTCTGTGATCCATGATTAAGAAAAGAAGCTTCTCCTGGTTTTAATGGACTTAGCAGGGAGTAGGTTTACACTTCTTTGTGTATAAACGTTGCTTAACAGCACTAGGAAGGGAGGAATGTTTTGTTCTTTGTCAGGTGTCAGATATTTAGGCAACAGGGTATTGGCAGGAGACATGAAAAATAGTCTTTGGCCAGCAACAAGCAATGTGAGATTAATCTGCCTAAAAAACATGATCTCATCCATCTTTTTTGTCCCAGGGGAGGGAGCCCTGGCTGTAAGCCAGGCCTCAGGCTGAGCAGGACAGACCAGTGCAGGGCTTAGGCCAGAGTAAGGGAACAGTGGGCTGCTGTGGGGTGGTGGAAGAACAAGCTCCTCCCCTCCATTTCAGAGGTGTCCCTTACCAGTGTGACACTGTGACTGACCAAGAAGCTGAGGGTTTTCTTCCTCAGATTTCTCCCTTAGAGTTTCAACCTTTTCTGGTTGGCAGAAGCTCTTTTTCTGAGGGTCACTGGGATCAGAGAGGGAGCTGTGGTACAGTCCCACCTGCTCCTGAGTGCCATCATTCCAGTGTTTCTCTGGGTGTTTCACTAGCTGGGAGAAGGGAGGCCCTCAGACACTGTGTTCTGGTGTTACCCTGATCCTAAAACTCATCAGCTGCCTGGCACAGTTCAGGGTTGGCTGTTTCCATCTGCTTTCAGATGTAGATTGTTTGTGTTGTACTCTGAATCATGTAGAAGGAAAGGTAAAAGCAGTGTGAAAAGCTGCTATCTGAGCTTCCCTCTCCTGGCTGCCAAACATGTGTCCTTTTTGGGAGAGAACTAAGAGTATCTGCACATCTTCCATGTTTTTACAAGAGTGTGTAGTGACAGGACAAGGAGAAATGGCTTCAAACTGAAAGAGAGTAGGTTTAGATTTGATATTAGGAAGAAATTCTGCCCTGGGAGGGTGGTGAGGCCCTGGCACAGGTTGCCCAGAGAAGCTGTGGCAACTGGAAGTGTTCAAGGCCAGGTTGGATGAGGCTCTGAGCAACCTGGTCCAGTGGAAGATGTCCCTGCCCATGGCAGGGGGTTGGAACAAGATAATCTTTAAGGTCCCTTTCAACCCAAACTGTGATTCTATGAAGATTAGAAAACTGAACAAAATCAGTGCATTAAGCCTAGGGTAAGGAGATAATTTCTTAGGATCAGGCAGGATTCAGACTTGGCCAGCTGTCCAACAGATTCTTTGAAGTAAAGTAGTTCTTCTGTAACATGTTTGTCAAACAACCAATGTGCTATCATTTCCTATTTCCCCACAATTTTCCCTCTTTACTCCATGTACCCTTTTCTCTACCTCAAACTTTTCTTTTTTTGCCAGTATCCCCTTACTTTGTTTGTGTCTTTCCTCTCTCTCCACATTTCTTCTCCATAAAATCAAAACATATCCAGGCTGGGGTAATTTTGGCCTCTTAGGGGTGAAGCTGCAGTGTCTCTTGGTAGCATACAACCAACAGAGTCAAGCACTCACTTCCAGCATCCTCAGGGAGGGTGAGCCACCCTAGTCCTGTCTCAAAGGGTTTGTAAGGGCTGTGCAGATCCCTGATACGCACATATCCCAAAATAGCTAGGGAAAGGGGAGAAATCCTCTGAGTTGGATCAAAGCAATCACAGCAGTCCCTTTTCCCACCCTCTTGCCCAATGCCTGCCTGACATGGGAGACCTGGCTGATCTGCAGGAAGAAACTGAACAGTTCAGGGAGAGGTTGGGTCATGTTGGAGCAGAATCACTGTTGGCTCCAGCCAGGAAAAACTGCAAACTGTTTGCAGCAGCCTCAACAAGTGGCTTCAGTACTTTCACAGCAGTGACTGGTGAGTGCCCCAGAGGGACCAGGGGGAGCAGCCACTCCCTCAGCTTGTTGGACCAGCAAAAGCTTGCACTGACTCTCAGGTGCAGTGAGATTTGGTACAATCTGCAATTTGCACGTCCCTCACGGCTCTGCTCTTCTGCTTGACACGTTTATTTTGATACTTGGGTCCCTCACAGTAACTCCAAAGTGGTGCCACGGGTTTGTATTGAGGTTCAGTGCAGTGAGGATCGTGCCATCCTGCTGCAAACCAGTGTCTTTTTTGCAGCTGTCATGGCTGTAACAGAATCCCTGCATTTAGTTTGGTTCATTTTAACTGGAATGTGTAGGCATTGGTGCTCCAAAAGAGCATTCAATTCCCTCCTGTACAGATATGAGACTGAGACACATAAGGTTTCAAACTCAGTCTTTTTCTGTGTTCAGGTGATTATATTTTGCAAGACTTTTGTTAGTTCACTGTGATATGTTAAATAAAACAAAGCATACATGCAAGCACAAAATGCAGGAATATACACAGTGTGTGCAGTAACAAAATACATCAACCACAGGTTTCAATCATAGAGTTAATAATGTCTGAATTTTCAATATGCGCTTGAATTTGATTTTCATCTTTGCTGGAAGTAATTTATTTTCTCAACTGACAGCCAGTGTTTGTGTTGTGTTGAGTGAGAGAACAAAAATCCCTGGGTGAGTAAGACCTTGTAGTTTTCACTTCTCTTTCAAGTTACAATTTGTATTGCAAACTTGGTACATTTCGACTATATATCAATATATATTTGGGTTTGCCTTGGCTACTAAAGGAGTTTTTCCTCAGCTCTTATCCCTTCTTTCCCTCTGTTTTAGCTCCTCCCTGATGATGAAAAGGTACCGGATGAAATCCTACAGGACATCAAGGAGTTGATACATGTAAGGCTTGGGTGGGTTGGACATATTATCAAGTTGTATCTGCTCAGGAAATTACTCTGTGTTAGCTGAACCCCAGTGAGCATCTAAGTCCATCACAAGTGTGAACAAAACCACAGCAGCTCAAATCTTTTGTGCTGAAGCTCAAATCTACAGATGAGAAGTTATGACTGACCAGTGCCATACTTCAGTGCATTAACCTCAGTAAAATACTTGAGCACTATCTGACCAACAGCTCTGGTGACTGATAAATTATATTAATCCATAGAAATGCTCAGAATTGACACCAATAAGTTTTCAGTTTATTTGCTAGCTACTCACTGTGACATATTTATGCACATGGACTCCTCACACTTCTCTTACCTGATTTCCATCACCTTTCCGTCGCAGCCAAAGGATGGTCCAGCTTTTGGGGGCATGTCAGCCTTGCTGCTCTTCTTTTAGAGACTGAAAGCAGACCCAGAACTATAGGGAGGCATTGCCTCCACAGCAGCCTTCCCTGGAAGAAATAAACCAAAGGGCATGGGAGCTCATGGGATTCCAACACCAGGATAAGTGGAGGAATGGTAAGGGAATGGAATGGACTGAAATTTGCAGTTCAGTCTTTCTGTGAGGAAAGCAGCAGATAATAAAGGACTGATTGACATAATCTGTGCTGGCCTCTTCCAAAGCTGCAGTCTGACCCCTAGGTATGTGCTGGGAATCAAGAGCAGTCAAGGGCCAAACTCCAAGAAACTTGACTTGCAGTCACAGGTGGAAAGAGTATCTGACACTTTAAATGTGATACAGTGCAAAGAACACGCAGTGCAGATATGACACAGGGAAGTCATATGTTATGTTCAGAGGGAGAGCGGGTGGCTTGTGATTATGTGGATAATTTATGGAAAAGAAAATAAAAGTAAAAGGAAAGGGCAGATGTTTAAAATGTAAAATAAAACATCACTTTGAAGATCATTAACCAGATAATGCTGTCTTGGAGGGTAATACTTTTTTTTATATCTTATCACTTATGCCAACTTATCTTCATCCAGACATTGAATTATCCTGATAATAAAGAATGTAAATAAATGTTTTCCTTGCTGATATAAACTTATCTCCCATGTAAGATAACAAACAATGTTGAGTAATTCGGAACTAACCTTCTCAACCTTTGCCCCTGCAAGACCTTGACTCATTCCTGATTTCAGAATTATTTCATCTCTGTTTTTTTAATCATTTTATTTCCTTCTTGCAGACTAAAACCGAACTGAACATGGGCTGTCAGGAACTGCTACTCATGTTTGCTAAGCTGCTTCTCATGCTGTCATCTTATTCTTTCACTCAGGGTTATCCTGTTCTTTTCCCTACATTATCTTATCCATGCTGTATGAGTATTTCTCATTATAAATAAAGAAGAAACGGGGTCAGAATTGCCCAGACACCAGCACGGCAAAAAGTTAACAGCAGATGGTCATGGTCTGAGCACAGGGTGGATATCTTATCCAAAATTGCTTCAGCCAGTAAAGTCCAGCAAAAGAAATGTTAGCTTATTTTAATACAGACTTTGGGAACTGGGCCACAGGAAAGGTGTTCTCTTGGTCCATCCAATGCAGCGTGTTTTGAGTGGCTTGGATTCATTTTTGCATTGTAATGAAATGAATGGCCTTTCAGTAGAAAAAGACAAGGTATCCCTTCTCTTTACAGTGGCTCTTTGGTAAGAAACAGTGAAAATGAAAGAGATTATAAAGAATAGGTAAGAGACAATACTGAGAACATGGTAATTTTGTCCTGTGAGGCAACAGCACCCATTTACCTGAAGTGTTCATTATCTTCTGAGATCTGATTACCTGGTCTGAAGCAACATGTGCCAGAAATACAAAGGTTTTGATGACAAGGATGAGAGATGGAGAGAGAACAATGACATATGAGATTGCTTCAGCCAGGAGGTGTAAGAAAGGACTTACAGGGAATTTATAAGGTTTGGTTTGAGGTCTTTGCTCGTATTCAGTCTTCCTTGATCACTGTATAAAGCCTTCACAGAGTACTTCCAGTGTGAGAATAGGATGTTTCTTACCTGTCTGGACATCCCAACTTCACTGCACTTCTTCCAATCCAGAGGAGAAGTTAACTAGCTCTACCCCACAGCCAAACAGTAGGGAAGCCAAGCCGTGCACCAAAATCACTGAAATATAAAAAAAAAAAAAAATTGTCATCACCATCACGTATTTAACATGTCAGCTTTCCTACAGGATGTCACAGAGGCCAGGACCTCACCAGGATTTAAATAAAGTTCAACACTGGCTATCAAGAGCAAGCACTGTTACATTTCAAGCATATTCCCCAACAAATAGGGGATATCCATCAGCATGTGCCAGACAAGTGAATGAACAAGTAATTTACTACCTTGTCCAGGCACATCTGTGCTTACTGTATCACCTTCATCTTTGAAGAATGGGATTGTAACTGCAAAGCTGTTTTAAAAAGAATTATATTAAGCCTTTATGCAATGAGAGAGCCAAATATGCCAAGACAAGAAGTCAGGGCTTCAAATTAAGCCCATTTTCTTTCAGCTTGCTTTGTATTCAGTGTTTGCTAAATAGCTCCCTCTTAATTCTAAGTGTAGCCAGTTCCCACGTAGGCTGTTCATCCCTCTTGGCATCCCCCACAGAATCCAGCTTTATTTTTGTTGGCTGAAAAAATTACAATCAAAGGTTGTATCTTCTTCCCCTGCAGGCACAGCTACGTTTTTGACAGCCTTGGTGAGAAGTATGGAAGATTGGTTATTAATGGTGCAGAAGCTGAAGTGAGGTCCTGGCATGCACAAAGCTGAGCTGCCTGCATTTTATCACCAGATTCCTTTGTGGCTGGCCCAGGTGGATGCAGCGATGAGTTTTATAGGCTCCAGCCAGTTGCATGAAGCTGAGAGTGATGATAAACCACATTTCCTTTAAGGACAGAGGTGTTAATTGGACCTGGGCTGGCCTTGCACAGAAAACTACACTTGTGAGAAAAGAGAAGTGTCCTTTTGTGGAGTCCCTAGCACAGAAAACTGAAAGTGGGATAAACACGACCAACTGAAGCATTAAAATGATTGGTGACTGCCTTTCATCTGCTTTGATTTGGCAATATCTGTGGAAACAGTTGGTGGCTTCAATATCATTCCTGGAACATCCCCATCTCCCTCAGAACTGCCAACTGCTTTGGAAATCTTGACATTTGAAAAAAACCCAAAATGAGTGATTCATTTACAGTCAGATTTCTGGGGGTATATTCCTCTTCATGGTGCTCCATTGTTTTTGGTAAATGTCATCCAGAAATGAATCATTTGCAGAGCACGTGCATAACGTGTCTGTGTGAGATTCCTTGCAAATGCCAGGTCTGCCCACAACTACAGCCTTAGCAAAAAAGCCTGTGTCAGGTTTCCAGTATGTGGTGTACTTAGATATGCTGGGTTTGTTTAGCTGGGGAGCAAAATGTATCTTTGAGACAGGAGATCCGTGAGGCTGATGCACTAGAGGTCACTTTGTTTCTGGATTTGGTTTTTTTTCGGGGTGGTACCTAGAGAATTCTTTCAGGTGATTCAGCAGTGGGTTCTGTCCATGAATAATGAGGTTCTTAACAAAGAAATTAAGTGCAAGTCTGCAACTGTTAGGGATAAGGGCACTCTATCTAGTATTCAGTCTTTAATTTCCTTCTGGCTGGAGTGCAGTTATGAGGAATGCTTGTTTCTCTTTCGACACTTTCCTGTTTGAGTTGAGTTGTGGCTTTTGTCTCCCAGCCAAAGGAGCAGAGGAAAACTCCTAAAAATAGCTGTAATGTCTCCTGTACAGTGCATTAACACAATTTTGTTTCACTTTTAGCAAGCATTTTCTCTGGAATAACACTGATATTTCCTGTTCAGAGAGCTGTTGTGCCCGCTGGCTCTCTGTGGTTTTACTTCTTTCTCCCAGGGTTCTAGATGGTGTGGTGTGTGATTTCTGGTTTGTTGCTGAATTCTGGACATGAGAACGCACCATGTGGCTGATCAGCAGCACATGATCCTAAATAAGAACCGGGAGAAGGATGGATACATAGTAGGAAAAGATGTGTTTGTAATGAATATGGATATAAAAACGGTAAAAACAGGGCAGGGTTTCATTTCAGGCAGGTGCTGGTTCTGCTCTGTGGTAAGGTTCTGCCTCATCCAATATCTGATGGCCTTATTTCGGGTTTCCTTTCATTCTGAATGTCTTGGGCCATTTGAGAGGTACTCATGATAGTTTTCTGCAGGAGCTAAAATTTTTCAGGTCCTGTTAGCACTTGCAGGGTGCTGTGTGAATGCAGCTGAGCTCTTCCAGGGCCTGCCAGTCCCCTGGAGTGTGGCAGGAACAGCCACACAACGTTGTGCCTCAGTGTGAGGAACACAATGAGGGTATACCCAAGTGTCTCCATGCAGAATCACACCAAGGTTTGTGTTTGGTTATGACTTCTTCCATGCCTAAGCAGTATGGCTTGGCCATTCTGAATTGCATTCCCTCATACTTATTTTGCCTGTGAGTTTGCATTATCCAGGGAAAACCCACCTCATTAGCCTTGCTAATAGAATTGACTGTGCACTGTACTTATCCTCACACAATGAAGATCAGCATCTCACCCTTTGCTAGCAAACACTGAATTTTAAAATTAATTAAATTTGCAGGGTTTACATAGATGAGCCATGAAATCCTTTGTAGATCTTTTAACAATGCCCTTCTTTGAAACCATAAACGTGTTTTGTAGAGTCAGTCAATCCCACTGGACACCTCAGCTCTCTAAATCTTTCCTTTGGGTATCCTGCCAGCAGCTCCTTAGATTTCAGGTTTTAGCATTAACTTTGCTTCTGTGTTTCAGAAAAACAGAGATCCGTGCTCAGAATGAAGAGGAAAGATCTGAAGGTCTTGAAGAGAAGCTGGAAGAAGCTCTGCAGAGAATCAAAGAGCTAGAGTGTGAGCTGGAGAAAGATGGGAAAGTCATCCCAGAAGCAACATACAAAGAAAGGCAAGGTCAGGAGAATCAATATTCTGAACCCTGTCACAGACTCAGAGAGTGAAGCACTCTTCGAGGGCACCTCATTCACCTCCTGTTTAGTGCAGAACCCTCCCCTCCTGGGCATGTCCCAGGGTTTTGTCTTGACTCTTTGTCAGAGGTCAAGCAAGGAGGCTTTTAACATGATTCTAGATCAGGGCAGAAAGAACTGCTGAATATGGTCTGCTTTTGAGAGAAACTAATTTTGTTTGATTTTGATATGCAACACAGGGTCTGTGTCTAGAAGATCATGTAACTGGTGGCATCTGCCTTGTAGGTGAGTTTTCCCTGTTACAGCCAAGAAGATCTGTTTAGGATCACTGATTTTGGAGTAGAAAAAAAAGGATGTTCCAGGTCCTTCACTCTCAGAGGCCACAGGCCTTTTGTGTTTATACCACAGGACACTCTTGCTCCCTCCAGGAGGTATTTGAACACTGCTGACCCACTGATCTTGTCC